AAATTATAATTTTGTTTGTATGCCCACAAACTAAAACTGAAGAACCCCAATCAGAGTTTAATGTAAATTATAATTTTGTTTGTATGCCCACAAACTAAAACTGAAGAACCCCAATCAGAGTTTAATATAAATCATGATTTTGTTTGTATGCCCACAAACTAAAACTGAAGAATCACAATCAGATTTTAATATAAATTATGATTTTGTTTGTATGTCCACAAACTAAACTGAGAACCACAATCTGAGTTTAATGTAAATTATGATTTTGTTTGTATGTCCATAAACTAAAACTGAGAACCACAATCTGAGTTTAATGTAAATTATGATTTTGTTTGTATGTCCACAAACTAAAACTGAGAACCACAATCAGAGTTTAATGTAAATTATGATTTTGTTTGTATGTCCACAAACTAAAACTGAGAACCACAATCTGATTTTAATATAAATTTTGATTTTGTTTGTATGTCCACAAACTAAAACTGAAGAACCACATCCATTGTGTAAAAATTTCAGTTAAATAATTCAAAGTTTAAGAAACCCATCGTTATCTTACAAGATTAATATGACACTGTTTAGCACTCTAACACAGTGTAGTACTCTACAAAACTGCAACACTGCACTGTATGATACTGTACAACATCATAAATGACACTTCAACATTGATACAACACTTTAACCTAGTGCTATTTATTGCCCTCCAACAGTGGTATACAGCACTACAATATAATGTGATACCGTAACAGTACTCCAACACAGTGTAATACCGTAACAGCTCTAAGATATAGTATGTTACTTTACAATATTAAAACAAAGTGCTCCGATACAGTATCGTACTATGCTGCACTAGTGAGATATAGTATAATACTTCAACATAATGTAATACCGTAACAGCTCTAGGATATAGTATGTTACTTTACAATATTAAAACAAAGTGCTCCGATACAGTATCGTACCATGCAGCACTAGTGAGATATAGTATAATACTTCAACACAATGTAATACCGTAACAGCTCTAGGATATTGCGATTATGTGCCGTATTCCACAATAGCGCGATACTGTTCTACACATCATAGATGACGGTGTATGGTCCTCCCTTACATTGTGGTACGGTACAGCAGTGTCATACTGTATATTAAAACATGGCACTACAACTGATACTGCAGTGCTGTACAGTCACTACAACATTAATAACTCCAGAATATCACAGCTTTCAGTTCGTACAGCATTCTAACTTACCTTAATAACCATTTGATTACTATACAATAAATAAGACGAAGGTCTGATTTTCTAGAAAAAAACTAAAAGATGTTAAATAATTTACGTCTTGTAGCAAAATGATAATTCATTTTTGGTACAAGTGACTAAACTGCTTGTAGACCACTATAGTTTGAACTACGGATACAATGTGTTTACTTTAAAACTAGAAATATACAACTCTTAGCTAAAGAGGAGACCGGAAGGAAACGTTACTGTTCAATTACTTGACAAGTTGGTGTTTGTGAAGAAAAGCTGACAATAGGATAAATAAAAATCTGTAGAACACTACCCAGTAAATAGTGTCTATTTAGAAAAGCTGACCATGAGATGGACATACACTGTAATAACATTAAAATGTATGAAAAACTACTCCCCAGTAAGCACCTGTTGAGAGAAACTGACCATAAGTTGGAAGTATGCTAAAAGTGTTGTCCAGCATACGAATGTTGAGAAACACTAGTTACGAGTAAGAAAGTAAACTTTTGTTTGGTAAGTTACTGACAATAAGATTGACACAAGTTACAAGTATTTGTCCAATTAGTCTTTAAATCTGACATTTAAAGATGCATTTGAACACAAAAAAAATGTTTTCTACAAGTTATCTGGAAAAACAAAAGCAGAGAGTAAAAACTAATGATAGAAACTATGTGGTTATAACCATGGTCCAGAAAGTGTGTAAAAAAATAGGATATAAAGGATATGTCTCTAAAACTAGTTTACAGTAATTGACTGTAAAACTGAAGATACAACGTGTAAACGTTTTAAGAGGATGAAATTCCAAACGATTATTACACAGAAATGTTGTCTAGAATGAAAATAAAAACTGTAAAAACTTCTGAGAAACCCCCATCCATACACTAAAGGTTAAAGATTAAATGTCTTCCAACTGTTAATAAATCATCGAAAACTGAGCACAATATGATCAAGTTAACTACAAGAAATGAAGGAGAATGACCAATTTGTAATATTTATTTTTGAACTTTTATTGAATATAACAAAACTAGTCAACTAATTACTTTCCATACTCATATGAAATATAGCTCAAAGCAAAATAATCCAAACTTGTGGCCAAATACCCAAATAATGCAATCAGTTCTTCATAATTGTATCAATAATCATACCAAGTAATGCTCAGGAGTATGTAGGTTGTAAGATCTTATAGCTAAATGTTTGTCAGTCGATTATAGGTCTAACTATACTTTAGTAAAACTAAGCACTACACAGTCAAATGTTAAGTTTGTCAGTTTATTATAGGTCTAACTATACTTTAGTAAAACTAAGCACTACACAGTCAAATGTTAAGTTTGTCAGTTTACTGTAGGTTTAACTGTACTTCAATAGAACTAGACACTAGAAGAACAAAGATTATGGTCAGTACCTGTACTTGTATTAAGTAAGTTTTAATAGTGAAATTCTGAAGGGGTGTTACACTTTTGTTGTGGGTTATATTAATTTTATGGTTGGATTATAAAAATGGAAATTTTTATGGTGATTAACAAAGATTTAAACATTTTCTTATATTGTGAGATTGCTGCTTAAAGAATAACCAATTGACAGACTGTGGAACAGACCCAACTTTGCATCTCACAATATAGAAATATAGCGATTACTGTGTAGATGTAATTCAGTTTCTTTATTTTAGAGCATTCTGTATCTTTTAAGTAAATGCTGACATTATATACTAACTTTGAACCATTTATGCCTATAAGATGTCAGTTTATTCTTAAAAAAAAATCATAACTGTTTGTGGAACATTACTTTTTGAAGACCATTTCTTTATAACATAATTTTTGAAAAATCAAATAGGAGAAATCTTTACAGTAGACAAGTTGATTTTAATAATTGCAACCCATAATACTGGATCATCATCAGTTAAAAGTTTCAGTTGATGACCCGATACTATGAATCTCATAATACTGGATCATCATCAGATAAAATTTTCAGTTGATGGCCCGATACTATGAATCCCATAATACTGGATCATCATTAGTTAAAAGTTTCAGTTAATGACCCGATACTATGAATCCCATAATACTGGATCATCATCATCAGATAAAAGTTTCAGTTGATGACCCGATACTATGAATCCCATAATACTGGATCATCATCAGTTAAAAGTTTCAGTTGATGACCCGATACTATGAATCCCATAATTCTGGATCATCATCAAATAAAAGTTTCAGTTGATGACCCGATTCTATGAATCGAAACATTGTAAAAATTAAAATCAACTTTCCTGCTATAAAAGCTGCTGTTATTTTATTTTTGAATCAATTACTCTCTGTATAAAGTATCTCACTAAACAATAACTTTTTAAACTTATATGAAATGTTTTTACACTGGATAGACTGTAGTTCTTTATAGGTGTCTTGATCTATAATGATTACAATATGAATCTAATAAGATTCTTAATGAGATCTATGGGATAGCTTTGTAAAACAATAGTAACACGATTGAGTTTATCAACTTCTAGACTTGTTACGTTTGAGCTACTATTTATGCACTTAATCGGTGAATTAATGTAAGCGTGGACAAAATATACACTTAAGTTTAAGAAACTATTTGACTGTATTCTCTTGCCTTTGAACCTTATAATATCATTCTGCAGTATTAAAACTCCTGAATCAATCCATAGGGTCAGAATCATCCACTTATAGCTAACACCAGAGTACCTCTCTATGACCTGTAACTTTTACTTACACCTCTAAACAGTACCTGCTATTCCAGACATCCAATTTATCGAGTATAACCCCATATTTAAACATTTTTAGCTTCTTTGAGGTGCAAGTTACGGACGTCCAAGTTTTGGCATTCTATATTTTTCTCTGCTTGTATTTCACATAATAATAATCCTGAATTTAATACATAAACACTTCTTTATCTCTAATGTGCAGAAAACCTTGTAGTTTCAGCATTTTCCCTCTAACAGTAGCTTACATAACAACATAGTAGTGTTTCATAAACATTCTCATTCAAAAAACAAACAAAAAAACATAAACAATATTGTCACAGGTCAGGGTATATTCTTTTATACAACAATTGTTATAATAAAATACCATAACCTAATATACTTTCAGTTTACACATGATTTTTAACAAACTAATTCAATTCCTTGGAAAACACGTACAGCTGTTTTTAACATCAGTCAGAACTAATCAAAACCGATATTGGACAGTTTGAGACCCTATGGATGGATTTCGATGTGTCGGGTAGCTTTTTCACAACTTTCTAGGTGGTAGGCCTAAAACACCATGCTAATTGGCTGATGCTAGTTAATAGCTGAAGCTTAGAAATATTATATCAACTTATTCTGCTCGATAACACCATACTCGTAGCTGCTAAGGAACATTCAGTATTCTAACAAATCCATCTCAGTCATTACCAAGGCACACACCAAGACATGATGCTTGGCTGTAATAAAACAGCCATTAGTTTTAACTCAAGATAATCATGCACAGTTTTCAAGATCCTCTCGGAAGTAGCCAACAGAAGAACCAAAGAATATAAAGCAGCATTTAATGAAACGCATTTTGAGAGTATTATGATTGGTCCAGGCATATATCCTTCAAAAATAAAATAATGGGATATTTTAGGATATTCCACTCTCATCTTTCTTACTGAATAACACAACATCTGCATTTTGGTTTTTTCTTTATGACAACGGACTCCACTTGAGACGAGTCAGCCGGTGGTACAACAATTCCGTGTTGAACTTCTACAACGGCTGGTTCCGATGGACTGGCAGTTTTTGGTGCATCACCATTCACATCAGGCTTAGCAGAAGTGACACTGTTAGCCACTTGTGGCACCACCTGTTCTTCTTTTGCTTTGTCTACTTCATCCATTGTTGGTTCCTGGACTAAATCTTCTAGCCCTGAATCATCACGTTCTCCTTTGGTAGGAGTTATTGGTTTTCCCTCTTTGATGAGGCAAACTATAGATTCTGCTTCTTTACTTAGGTCTCCATCAGGTCTGAAGGGGTTATCAATCCCATTCTCAGAGCTGTTCAACAGAAAGAACAAGTTTAAAATGTATATTCTCCAAATACATTCTCAGATCATTATCAGTTAAAACTGTTCATAATGGAAGCTGCTGAGTAACTGTGATGGAAATGGTGAAATCAAGGGAAAATGTAATGTACAAATCAACATACCAGGTAACTGATACAATAATGATTCTTCAAGCAGTAATATGTAACAAGTACTACAAATACAGTTGCTATATGTAGCAATTAACACTAAGATAATTTATGTACACAACTTTATTTCTTGCATATATATATATTACCCAATTTGTACACTGATAATTATTTAAGTAGTAACTGGTAACCATGTGCTTATTTAAAATACTGGCTGAAAATATTATAGCAACTTCTGTCATAAAATTATTAAGATAGATTAGAAATATGATATCTTTCTTCTCTCACACAAGGCCAATACAAGGTAGTGGTTCCAAATGTTTCCACAGTGACATAAAATACTTGTTTCACAAATAAATATTTTAAGAAGCAACCAAAGTTTTATGTAGCTTGTACAAAGAAGTAAAATTCCAGAAGTAAGTCATTAAATACAAGTTGTATATGAATGGCCACTTTAAAAAACAGGTAGCTTTAATATATATAATTTCATTGTACATTGCACACATTTATACAGGTATACATTTTCAGTAGTAATTAACATTACTGTATGACATCTATACAAGTGGTTACATCAAGTAGTAATTAACACAAATGTATGACATCTATACTAGTGGTGACATCAAGTAGTAATTAACACTAATGTATGACATCTATACTAGTGGTGACATCAAGTAGTAATTAACACTAATGTATGACATCTATACTAGTGGTCACATCAAGTAGTAATTAACACTAATGTATGACATCTATACAAGTGGTCACATCAAGTAGTAATTAACACTAGTGTATGACATCTATACAAGTGGTGACATCAAGTAGTAATTAACACTAG